TTATGCAGAGAAGTTTTAAGTGGGGATAAAATTAAACAAATTAATTTTATCTTATATTATTATTTGGCTATGGCTTTAAATATTCTGGGAAGGCAGTTATGCACAATATTAATCTTTTTTTAAATTATCTTTATTTATCGTTCTTTTTTCTCTTTATTAATCCTTTTCTTTGAATTTTAATTTTATTAGTAATATTTTATTCATTCTTTTTTTCTGCTTTTGATTTAATGCGCAAAAATCAACCTAGGAACCAAATTTTCTGAAAGTTTGACAATTAGGAGGACAAAATTTACAAAGTTATTCATTGCCTGAAATTGTCAGGATAAGCAGATGAGTATATCTGAGCCCAGATTTAAAAAAAAAATTATAATAAGTGGCAGCATTTTTTTTTTTTTTTTTTTTTTACTTATGCATTGCTTAAATCTATCAATCGGTGTAATGAAGTAAATCTGACCCCCTTATGATTTACTAATCAAAAATTGGTTGTGAGACTTTCCTTCCTCAAAATAAAACTAGGAAAATAAGTATTTTCTTTTCTCTTCTTTAACCGATTTGGGTTTAATAGGTGGAGTTGTCTTAAGGGATTTGGGTTTAATAGGTGGAGTTGTCTTAAGGGATTTGGGTTTAACAGGTGGAGTTGTCTTAAGGGATTTGGGTTTAATAGGTGGAGTTGTCTTAAGGGATTTGGGTTTAATAAGTGGAGTTGTCTTAAGGGATTTGGGTTTAATAGGTGGAGTTGTCTTAAGGGATTTGGGTTTAATAGGTGGAGTTGTCTTAAGGTTCCTGGAATTTATTACTCGTTGTCTTTTCTTCCCCCCGTTTAACTCGTATGTATTAGAAAAAATAAAAACTTGCAAGTTTTCTTTTATTTTCTTTTATTATTTTTTTCTTGCCGTGATAGAAATATGATTTTAAGGGCAAAAATTAACCTTTAGCCCTCCGAATACTTTAAAATGCTGTTTGTGCTAATTTAAACACTAAATCATTTATAATATGTTATACAGTATTTTTAATATAGTTTTCGAAATTTAAAAAAAATATGGTTAATAATTATTAAGGTCCAAATATTTTTAATTAGTGAGCAGTGGCTGTAGATGACTCCTCAGAGGCGACATCGGAGTACAGAGGGTTAAACTGATCATGGTTGTGCTCAGGTACCCTACTAGCTTTAGATACAATTCAGCTTTTTATTTCAAATAAGTAAATATATACTAATTAAACAATTAATTAATAATCAAATAAAGAAAAACTAGTAGAGCAATCATTTCATGAGCAGTTTTTATCCAGTCATAATAGAATGTAAGGAACCATCATGATAATAGATAAGTAATTTAAAGCCTTTAATTTGGCTCTGTAATCATCGAATTATAAATTTTTAATAATTTAGTGGTAGCTAATACGATAAAGTTTTACTTAATATACACATGAATATACTAGCACACCTTTAATAATAACGCTTTCCACATAAAATTTGAAAATTTGGGCTTTACTAACTATTTATTACATAGAGAAAGTGTTACTTCCAGATTTTTGGCTTATTATTGGCTAGTTTTGTTTTTCAGGACCAGCGGGATCTTTATTCACAAGGTAAAAATTTTTTAAATGGACATGAGACTATGCGGAAGTTCCTACTTTTTTTTAAATTTTTTTTTTACCTAAAATGGCCATATAACCATTTTGTAAAGGGAATAATTTTCCCCCCAATTAAAATGTACTAAATAAAATTGCAACGTAAGCTTTGCAATTAACTGCACTGTGCTATAGGGCTCTCTCTAATCAAAGAGGTTTTAATGCAAAAACGAAATTTTTGTCACTTAATTCCTTTTCAAGATCAACCCTTTAAATAGTAGGTCATTAAAAATAAAATTTGTTGGTTAAATACGTCGATTTTTACTGCTCATTACCCGGTTGTTTCTTATATTTTATTTCAGAACCGTCATTGATCAGTCTAACCAATTTTTGGGTTTACGACTACTATTGTTCAACTCCGTAGCCTTGTAATTTTGAACCCAATCCAAAAGACAAAGGGAATTCCTGGATCAAGGATTGGGAGAAATTTGCCTTCGTGGAGAACTTTTGGATGGAACTTACCCTCATTTGTGTTACATGGAGAGGAAAACAACGAAAACCTTCCACGCTTAATCTGCCTTCAAGGAGAATCTAACCCGTGACCTGTCTAACACTGAGGATATTTTACGTCAGCACTGTGCCGGATGCAGAATTCGTATCGACTAGCCATTGCTGAGATTCAAACCCGGTTTAGGCGAACGCTGGAAAGGCGAACGCTTTATCCCCTGAGCCATTCCGGATTTATTGTTTCTTATATTTTATTTTATAACCGACATTTTTTTTTTTTTTTTGAACAGCCGACCCAATTTTTGGATTTATGACTACTAACGTTCAATTTCGCAGTCTTGTAATTTTGAGCCCAATCCAGAAGACAAGGGAACTCCTGATTGATTGATTCCACATAGTAGTTTTTGGTTGGTGCCCTTTCAAATATAGAAAGTAAAAAGCAACATTTTCGACATATTTAATCTTTTTTAAATATCGAAAATGCGAAAATACTACAAGTAAGAAAAAATTATCCCATGTGTATGAAATAGATGTATTGACAGTACGCCAGTGCCAAAACTGGTTTGCAAAATTTCGATTCGGAATTATTTTGATTAACGTGCACTAAGCCAGTTTAGGCTGATTAAGACACAATAACGGCACCAATTGATGAAAACTGGCGAATAAACAACTCCTGAGTTGTTGAGACATTAAATTTAACAAATTCGACAGCTCATGATAATTTGAAACGTCTAGGTTAATTCTCAAAAACTCGACATATAGGTTCCCCATGTTCTTACGGAACGAAATTTGCGCTGTCGTGTTTGACGTCTGTGAGTTTCTTCTCAAACATCAAGAAAATTATCCATTTTTGAAGCGTATCATCATTGTGGACGAGAAATGGTTTACATGGGTATGGTACAGCATTTGTTCCAGTCTCTACAAAAATTTCAGATGGTGTTACCTTTACTTTAAATTATGAGGTCAGAGCCATGATCTCTCAGGGTAGAGAGCATTTGCCCTCCAATGAGGTGCACCGGGTTCGAATCCCTGCAATGGCTGTTTGATATGAATTCTACCCGCACCCGGCTTGCATCGACCACAGTGCTGACGTAAAATGTCCTCAGTGGTAGATGGATCAGGGGTTAGATTCCCCTTGCCGCCGAGCTAACCGTGAGAGGTTTTCCTCTCCTAGGAATGCAAATGCGGATTAGTTCCAACAAAAAGTCCTCCACGAAAGCAAATTTACTATTCTTCTTTGTTGGGTTCAAAATTACAAGGCTACGGAGTTGTAAGTAGTCGCAAACCTAAAATTGGGTTGGCTGTTCAACGACGGTTATAAAATAAAATGTAAATTTTGCAGGTCAAAGGTTACCTGGATCAGTTTCTTGCCGGTAAAGAACAAAACTTTAATGAGCTGGGAAACATGCTATTGCCAGAAAGATGGCAAAAAGTATTGGACTAGAATGGACAATATACATATAATTTAATAATATTTTTCTCTATAAGAAAATCGTCTTTCATTTTCATTAAGAAGAAAAAAACGAAATTACTTTCCGAACAACCCAATATTTGACATTAGCTGTAAACGTTGACATTTCCAACCTACAAATTTATTCTTGATATTACAATATTTAAGAAGTTGACAATGAAAAGAAATTAAGAGACAAAAATTTTTGACATCTCATTATTTGACATTGGATCATACAATAGACTAATCTCAAGAAAAGCGTCCAGTAGATCATCGAAATCAAGCATCACTGGTAGCATTCAGTGAGTGGGTGCATGACCACTTTGATGAGCCAGGGAAAGAATCGAAGTTGCTCGGTATTGGTCCTTGTTAAACTGATCTACCATGAAGTGCTTGACTTCTAGTCCAGGTCGTCTCTGCTTAAAGAAATCATTGTGAGCTCTAAAAAATATAAAAAACAAATTTTTGAAAAATTTATTTAATTGATTTTTAATTTTTTAATTTCATTTTTAGTGGTTAAAATTCACACTATTATGAATTATGAGATAGTGGGCACAGAGGGGACCGAAGTGGCCACTGCCCTAAGCATCTACCCAAGTGAGATAACCACTTTATCTGCAAGAAAACTTTAAATAACTTTTTATTATGAAATTAATTTTTTAACAAATAAATATTTGACCAAAGTAAAACTGTTTATAAAGAATAAACTATAATTTTTAAAACAAATTTAATAATTAAGTGTCAGATTATCGAAATTCAAAAATTACTTACATTTATGAAAAAAATACGAATACTTTGTTGGAAATAATGATTTTTTACTAAAGAGTTCTCGCTTACTTTTACATTAAAATATTAATTTAGATTCAGATTTTTATTAGCAACTACCTCGTTTTAACTTTTTTTTTCTTCTTTTTCAATTTTTTTAATTTAGTGCTTTTTTTGCTCCCTCCGGTGATTACACTACTTTTTAAGGGGCATCTGATTGAAAAATTATCGGGAAATAGAGAAACGGTTAAAAATAAACACCACAGTGATGAAATAATACGTTAAATTACAATTTGGAAAATAGAATTTATGAAACAATAGCTATCGCATTTGAAAGGAAAGAACAATCGAATCATTTTAAGAAAATAAACGATCGTATAAACATTTAGCAATCTAAAAATGTGTTATTTTTTACCATTTTAATTGATTTGTTAAATTACGACTTCGAAAATAAAATTTATGAAACAATAGCTATCCATTTTGAAATGAAAGAATAATTGAATTGATTTTAAGAAAAGCGATAATTAAGCGTATAAATTTTAGCCTTCCAAAAATGTATTACTTTTAGCATTTTAATACGTAATCCCACTCTTTTTTCCACTGTTTATTTCCTTTCATGACAATAGCTCATTCTGATCTAAGCCCGAAATCTTTTGTTTCTTTTTGTGTCAAAGGCGCATGCGCTAGTACTCGCAGCCAACTTCGAACAAGCTTACAAAGATGGATTAGTAGCAAGTCAATCAGTCAAATAACAGTGATGTTGAGTTTCGCTTGATTCTATACTTTATAACAGGTGCGTGTTTATTTTTCTCTTTAGTTTTCTTATTCAAATATTTTGCTTTGAACAAATCGTATATTTATTATAAATAAATTTTTATAAATTTTTTTATATTTGCTGATTTGAGGTACGAAAAATGACACAAATTATTCTTTTATTTAGAAACATTTTTATTTCGTTCGATTCTATTTTGATTATATTCTATTTGAGTAAAGGCAATGTTTATTTTTTTCTCCTTTTTACGCTTTATAAGAGGTGCATGATTTTTTGTCTTTTTTTTTAATATCCTTCATTATACTTAAATATAGTGCTCCGAGTTTATTGTTCGTTGTAAAGAATTTTATCCCTTATTTATTATTTTTTTAAAAAAAAATTTACTAGTTTGAAGTAAGAAAAATAACAAAAATTTTTTTTATTTTGAAACACTTTTATTCCTTTATATTCTATTCTGAGCATATTTTAATTAAATATAAGCAATAATTATTTTTTCTATTTTCTACGCTTTATAAGAGGTGTATGTGTTTTTTTATTAACTTTAATTATATTCAAATGTAGTGCTCCGAATTTATCTTTGCTTTTTGGAACTTTTATCCCATATTTAGTATAAATTTATTTTATATTCACTAGCTTGAAGTAAGAAAAGTAACACAAATTATTTTTTTATTTTGAGGCATTTTCATTTTGTTTTATTCTATTTTGATTACATTCTATTTTGATTACAATCTATTTAAATAAAGGCAGTGTTTTTTTTTTCTCCCTTTTACTCTTTATAAGAGGTGCAAGTTTTTTTTTAATATCCTTCATTACATTCAAACATTGTGCTCCGAATTTATCGTTCGTCGTAAAGAGCTTTTTTCCTTCATTTTATATAAATTTATTTTATATTTACTAGTTTGAAGTAAGAAAAATCACAAAAATTTCTCTTTATTTTGAAACATTTTTATTATGTTCTATTCTATTTTGAGCATATTGTAACTAAATATACACTGCGTTTATTTTTTTCTTCCTTTCAGTGCATTGTAAGAGGTGCAGGTTTTTTTTTTATTTACCTTTATTGTATCCCAATTTATCGCTTGTTATAAGAATCTTTTATCCCATATTTTATATGAATTTAATTTATATGAATCGATTTTTATGAATTTATTTAATCTACATTTATTTTATATTTAATAGCTCGAAAAAAGAAAAATAACATAAATTTTCTTTTATTTTGAAACAATTTTATTTTGTTTTATTCATTTTCGTTCATTATGATAAGTGCATGTTTTTTTTTTTATCAACTTTTATTATATTCAGATATAGCCCTCCAAATTAATCGTTTGTTGCAATGAACTTTTGTCCCATATTTTATATAAATTTACTTTATATTTACTAGTTTGAAGTGGGAAAAATAACACATTTTTTCTTTTATTTTGAAACTTTTTTATTATGCTCAATACTATTTTGAGTATATTGTAACTAAATACAGGCAGTGTTTATTTTTTCTACTTTCAGCGCATCATAAGAGGTGGATGTTTTTTTTATTAATCTTTATCATATTCCTCTGTAGAGTTCCAAATTTATCGCTTGTTATAAAGAACTTTATCCCAAATTTTATATGAATTTATTTTATATGAATTTACTTTATTTAAATTTATTTTATATGGATTTATTTTATATGAATTTATTTTATGAAAATTTATTTTATACAAATTTATTATATATTTAATAACTTGAAGAGTAAGAAAAATAACACAAATTTTCTTTTATTTTGAAGCATTTTTAATTTTATTTTATTCTTTTTTGATCATATTGTAATTAAATATAGGCATTGTTTATTTTTTTCTTGTTCTTACGCTTTATGAGAGGTGCATGATTTTTTATTATTAACTTTAATTATATTACGAAAAAGTTAAAACGAAACAAAAGGGTTAATACTAAAACTAAAGTGTCATCGACAGGGTAAAAACGAAGACAACAGAGACTCACAGAGCACAAAATAAAAAACGGACCACCCTGAATAACTTTTGATCAAATGATTAATTCTTGTTGGTTTAATGGTTCGAATGGTTGACTTCTAATAGGCTAATTAATAAGTGCAGACGATATTTTGTTGCAGACACGAAATCAGACACAAAAACGTACTTTCTCTCTATATATATGCCTTTTTTCGACGGATTCGGATTTCTGAGCGTATTCTGAAATATATACGGGGTAGCCATAGTCTAGGAAATATGATCCCTACAGTTTGATCAGGAAAGGGGTCTAAATTTTGGACCCCTTAATCGTAAATTTACTTTTGCATATTTTACCATATTTCGAGAACTCTTTAGGCGAACTGAAAAATTTTTGCACGCAATTATAAAATTCGTTTATCCATAGATAAATTCCATGCAAAATATAACTCTTAGCAAATATTTTTTCAATTATTTTATTTGATATTAATCGGAAATTTTAAATTAAATGGTATATAATTTTTACACCATTTTGAAGAATGTAATTTTAAATATCAGAATACAAAATTTGAGCTAAATCTGCTGAATAGAATTCCTGAGAAATCGAATTTTGAAAATGTCGCATTTTTAAAGTTCTATTTTTTAGGAACTATTCGTCCGAATTCGTTCAAATTTTGTATTCTACCATATAAAATTACATTCCTTAAAATGATGTAAAAATTGTATGCCTTTCAATTCATTTGTCTTTTGAATACTACTAAATAAATTAATAAAAAATAATAAATAATTACTAAAAGCTATTTTTGCATGAAATATCTTTGAATAAATGAATTTCATAATTATGTGCAAAAATTTTTCAATTCTCTTAAAAAGTCAAGGTATGGCGAAATATGCAATATATATATATATATATTGCATATTGACTGTATGTTTACATATACAGTCAACCCCGCTATAGTGAAATTTCAAGGGACCGAAATTTCGGTTCACTATAACCGGGGGTTCACTGTATCCTTACTGCAGACAATTTGAACTAATTTTTCCGAACTGCTCCCTTTTATTACACATCATTTAAATAAATGACCAATAAAAAGAATTACAAAAGTGATTAAAAAAACAATATATAGTAACGAAAAATGTACTCTTCGTCTTGCGGACAAAAAATTTAGGGATCGGAAACTGAGACAGAAGAAGCAAACAAGAAAAAATGCTTGTGGCTACATTCCAATAAATAGATGGTTTTATAAATCGGTATTTGTATTTTATGTAAAAATTTCAAAATTACCAAAAAATGAAGAAAAAAAAAATCAGTCAAAGACTGAAAAAAAGTTCACAGAATCCAATTTCGTCTCGTCTTTTGGTTCACTATATCCGGTAGTTCCCTATAAACCATGTTCACTATAACGGGATTTGACTGTATTATCAAAATNAGTTTTGACCCCAAATATATATATATATATATATTTGGGGTCAAAACTTTGGACCGACTTCTGACCAGACTATTGGGACCACATTATCCAGATTGTGGTTACCACCTACATTTTGGGGGTCTAAAATCCGAATTCGTCCAAAAAAAGGCATGTTCATTCAGAGAAAGTACGCTTTTGTGTCAGTTTTGTAACTTGAAATATCGTCTGCACTAATTAATTAGCATATTTGATGTCACCCCTTCAAACCATTAAGATTGAGTACTAGAACTCGAAGATCCAATCATTAGATCAAAAGTTTTTCAAGGTTTCCCGTTTTTTATTTCGAGAAACAGTACAAAGGAATGTTTTGATTTCTTTTTAAGGAACTCATACATTTAATCATGTAACTGAAATTCCGATCGCATTAATAAATGATGAGTGATCTTACAAAAAAAGCAGCATATTTCAAATCTTAATCAATGCAGTATAGCCATTTAATCAGACCATAAAAGCAGTATGAAATAATACTTTGAAGAGCTTAAGATAGAATAAATGATTGATATATCAGAACGAAATTATATCGTGACAACATCGCAAAACGGAAGGTTTGCGTGCAATGGAGAAGGTCGTTTTATCATCAAGAAACATTTCTTAGAGAAACACAAATCCTATCACCAACTAGTGTTTTGGCACAGTTCTTAAGTGTACCACTACACCAGGGGAAAGGAAAAATTATTTTAACTCTTATGGTTTTTGTTTTTGGATATAAAACTGTTCCTTTCCATTTTTTGTGCGAAGCCATTTTAATGTTATTAATCTCAAATTTAAATCTTCAATGTTCCTGTTCACTAAGGGGTATTTTTAAAAATGTGGCAGCTTTTTTATGGACAATTCTAAAAATGGAACATAACGTCAGTAATAACTTTTTATTTTCAAAGACGAAATTATGCGTTTGATAATTTGCTTCTATCGTTATTTTAGAAGGGGCGGTTTTTTCTCTTCCCAAAAAGTAAAAAGTGGTTGCCATTAACTACAAAGATTGTGGCTACAAGATCTTTAGTTGACTAAACTCTTAAAAATTTATCTGCGCCCAAGAAGAAAAATTTCAGTTGGTTTAACTCTTTCTGAGGCCGTAGTAATTATACTTACCACCAATTTTTAAAGTCCATGGTGAGCTTTTTTACCACTTTTAATTTAGGTTTCCATTTGTTAATAACTTCAGCTTTCTTGAAGTGCGTTTGAATAAAATTGGTAGCCATTTGTTAGTTTAAGAAAACGTATAAAAGTTATGAAATACAAAATTCTTTTTGAAGTTTGTAGCATTTATAAAACTTGTTTTATAAATAACGAAATCCAAAAACCAATACGTTTCTAATAGGTCATGGTAAAAATACTTACCACCCCCTAAAAATGGCATTAAAATTTAGATAAATTTTTAATAAGCTAAATAAGTTTTTTTTTCTTATATCAATTACTATTCTTATATCAATTTCAATTCCAAAAATACTTTAATTTACCTTTACTATAAATAAATGGTCCATTAAAGGGTTAAAGTATTTCAGTATTGCCAACTTGCTCCGTTTGATGAAATATTATTTTCTAGAGGTAACGAAATTTAAGGTATTTTCAGCTTAACATTTTTCCTTTTTATTCATTTTCCCCCGACTGCACA